TGATGGATCTCTCATCCCTTCAATTGTCACTTCTATTTGCAATGGTTTTGTTTGGTCAATGCAAATTTTATGAAAATATATTTTTTTCTTCCACAAATGCTTCGAGTTATCAATACAACATTTGGTGTCATCGTTGTTTATTCAGAAAATGTCAATTTTGATGTTTCAACTATAAATGCCAATACCCAATCCAATGCCTATATTTTATTATGAAGTAATTATATGGTGTGATGTGATAAGATAATTTTTCAAAAATTTGTGTTGGCCAACCTAAAACTTTACAAAAAGAAAAGGCAATGGTACCAAACACAACCTAAATAATTTTGATTTAATTATTTTTTCTAACAAAAAAAACTAAAGAAAGGAAAACACAAATACAAACAGACTAAGGTCAATACAAGTCTCCCAATCTGCAATTTCCTGAATCCAATTAGGAATCGGGGACCTAAAGAAACACCTAGCTCATTAAATTTCTTTCAACAACATTAAGACTGTGTTTGGTTTGAAGGAAAAAGTAGGGAAAAGAAGGGAAATGTAAGGAAACCTTTGCAAATCTTGTATATGTTTCCCTATATTTCTCTTCCTTTCCCTACCTTTTGCTTCAAACCAAACATAGCCTAAAAGAAACACATAACGAGTTTGCCAAGTCTAAAGTATCTATAAACAACAGGTAAGCATCCAAAGATTTTTCTTCTTCACCCTCCTTGATTACCAGGATAAGAACTTAGCAGTCTCCTTCACGAGTAACTGGAATCCAACACCTTTGCTTTATCAAGCTGCCGTGTTTGATTTGACAGAAAATAATAAAATAAATCATCATGAGAAAGTAGTTTAGGGAAATCTCAAGAGCATTTTGCTTAAGAAAATTTATTATTCTAGCCTCTCATTTCCTACATGTGTTGACATAAGTCTTAAAGGTCTGTTTGATTTACAGTCGGAATCAGAATAGGAATTGAAATCCATCAGAATCGGAAACGGAATGGCCCATTCCCATAGTCTGTTTGGTTCAGATAAGAAAGGGAATAAGAACTGAAATCTGTAGGAATGTGATTTAATTCCCTAAGAAGAGAGAGAAAATAGCCATTCCCTCAAATGGGGGGAATACCATTCCAGCAACAATGGGAATAGAATTCCGATTCCATCCAACCAAACAGTTGGAATCGAAATAACCCATTCCATTCCGATTCTAAACTCCTATTCCCATGAACCAAACGGGGTCTAAATCCTTGATTACCAAAAAAACACGTCTAATTCCTTGAGTTGGGCCCTTACTAGTAGAACATCGAACCATTGACTTTAGTAGACAACGGAGAATCAAGAACAACCATGCAATAAATGGGCCATACTCGGCTAATAAATCACCATAAAAATTGATTGGATGTTTACAGCTTATCAACTCATTTGAGTTGAAAGCGTTGAATAATCTGAACTCGAATATTACGATTCAGATAATGACGGCCATTATCCAATGTTGAGGTCTTGGGATTGGTTGGTTGACTACATATTGAGCCAAAGAGAGAGGACCCGGTCTCCTTTGTTTCTTTGGCAAGAGGACCCAGTCTCTTGAATGCCCGTTTAGGAGGGGTTTTGGGACGCGGTTTCTCATTTCTGACATTTCGAGCTGGGCCTGGGTCCTATTCTAAACGCGAAAAATGCACTTCAAATAATACAGTTATAAGGGTGATCACGAGCCAAGCTCTCTTCAGGAGCTATTCCATCTCAGTTTGGCTCAGTTTCAATTGAGGTTTGAATCAAGTTCGAATTTAATTTACAGGTTTGTTTTTTAATTAAGTCGAACTTGAACTTAATGAAATTCGGCTTGTGAGGCTTAGAACTGGCTTGAATAGTTATGTAAATAATAATAATAATAATAATAATAATAATAATAGTATAAATAATATTTTTATTTTTATATACAATAATAATTAATTATTATAATTCTTAAATTTTTTAAATAGTAAATAAAAAATACTTTTTTATATATTTTTTATTTTTATAAAACATTTTTTTCAAAACGAATTCAAATCGAACTGAGTTCAAACTTACGAGCTTTTGGCACAAGCCGAGCTTGAGCTCAATCTTCTATCTCAAACCGAGCTCGAATTTCATACTACTTTGACGAACCAAACTCTAATCTCTAGCTATTCGGCTCAGTTTGGCTCAAATCTACCCTTAAACACAGGTAGCTTATCTCTGTAACACGGATGTATATGCTCACAATTCAGTTAACACAACTCACCCCAAAATGCGGCTGAGATCAGATTAACTGAATGCAATGACTATTTTGTGGGTTTTATGTATTTTACAATTGGTACTTAAACAGTGTTGAATATTCTATCTGAATTTGAAAATTAAGTATGTAGGTCCCCTCTATGCATCCAGGTCTTTGAATTGATTGGTTGACTACAAGAAGACACAATCGCTTGAATGCCCGTTTGGGAGGGGTTTTGGGACGCGGTTTTTGAAATTTAGAGTTGGGCCTGGGTCCTATATTAATTTTGTCATTATAAAGCTGTATTTGACATTTCTTATTTTAACGATCTATCAATTTGACGTTTCTACAAAAGTCTTCAATACTTGAATTCTTAAGGTATATATATCTGTTTCAATTATAACAGCCTCAAATAATAGTTATATGCTAATTTGTAGTCCAAAATGTTTTAAGATAAAAACAGCAATAGTACTAAAAACTATCGTAGTAGTTGAAATCAGTGCTTTAAAAAATGACTCGAAAATAGGATCATTTTGGCCATTGGTTTCCAGGTAAATCCGGTTCGAATTAATGGCCTGTTTTGATAAAAAATAAAAAAATTATTTAAAAATAAAAAATGACCGAAAATCATTTAATGAGTTGACGGTTCGACCACCCAAATCAAGATATTATTGACTGATTCAATGGTTTTTTGCCAGAGATCAGGTTTGAAGTAAAATTGAACCGGTTGCCAGAGGGTTTCCAGGCCAAACAGTCCGACCAGCTGGGTCAACGGAGATTTGAAAACCATGGTTGAAATGGTCATTTGGGGTTCTTCCATCTCGAGTAAGGTTATGTGATATCATCCCCATCATCAATTCTTTACCTTATCTTTCACTCTTGCTGAAAGCACATCTCATGCAACTATAGTCACAACATTCTCTTGTGACCCTCCTATGCAACATGGATACATCTTGTCACTGTTTTCAAAACCGGACCGGATCGGACGGTTGGAATGGAAAAACCAGGAACCAGTCACCTGATCGATTCTGTTTTCCTCCAAAACTGTTTTTTCCCTTAAAATCATTGATTTTGGTCAGTAAACTGTTGAACCGGCCAATTAACCATTTGAACCATTTTGATCGTTTTTCAATTTTTTAATTTTTTAATTTTTTTATCAGAACAAGCCGATCATTTGGGTCAAACGATCAGACTGTTCGAACTGGTAACTGGACCCCTAACCAATTCAATCACCGATTCATTTTTAAAAACCAAGCATCTTGTTTCCCACCTCACTTCCAAACAACTAACCTTTTTCTTACCTCCATTCTCTTACTTCCGTTTTCTTATACTTCTTGTTTTTATTTCCAACCCAAATATCAAAACCATCCCGCTCCATACGCTACTATGGGCAACCGCTGGTTAGTTCTTTGTCTTGAACTATGACTTTTGCCTACCTCAATCTTTTGTTCCTCTTCTATTATTACATCACCACCAGGCCATCAGCCCCTCTGTTTCATATATCTTGATTTTGGATAAATTAGAAAGACATCAAGAAAGAGCATCTTTCATCAATAAAAACCTCATTAATATTTTTAATAAACAGCATTTGATTAATTACTATTAAGTCTATTATGATAGTGGAACCCATTCACATTATTATATGGTTGCTGATTAGTGGTATCGGTTGCTGGATCCCAGTATCAAAGCAAATGCATATCATGTATTGTATTTTCACGGCAGCCTGAACTTACAAAATCTGGATCTACCCTACATGACAGGCCCCACTCTTATGATGGGTCCCTATGTGATGGTGAGATGTATGGTATGGGATGATGTTAGGAGGGCGTTGGAACCTGTTTTATTTGCAGGTGATCTCAACCCGAAAGGGAGAAGGTGTGAAATTACCATTCGGAGATGCCAGACCTGGCCGCAGTAGAGCGTTATTAATCATAGCCGCACATCTTACGATAGGAAATGGCAATGTGGCTGCAATTCAGGGCAGACAAAGTAATGTGGGCAAGAATATACATATGGAATGCCAACGTATTAGCCTTTCAAATAAAACAAAAAAGGAGAAAATTCGCAATTACTACCCCTTAGTGTCATTTTGGTCTCCAAATTTTGAAATGTGATAATTCACTAATTGAAGTTTTAAAACGTAACAATCCAACTGTTAATTAGTTATTAATCAACCATTAAGTGGTATTTGAAAAAGATACAAAATGCCCTCTGAGTGTTATATAATTTTCTTTATCAATTATTAAAACATTGACAAAAAATTAACAATTTTTAAATTATCGCCTCTTCTATTTAAGAAATTTGGAACCACCAAACCCACTTAAACGTGATTCCAATTTTCTTTGAGGTTATTAATTTTTTGTCAATATTTAGATGATTGATAATGACACTCAAAAGGTATTTGTATCTTTTTCAAATACAAAAGGTATTTTAATAGCAGATACTGGATTATCACGTTTTGAAAGTTCTGAAAGTTCGGATACTAAAAATTATTATAGTATTTTAAAATTGAGGGACCAAATAGCACTAGCCCAAAATACAGGATACTAATGGGGAATCTTTACTAAAAGAAACGGTGAAGTGATGGCTATTTATTGCTTAAACAAGGATGTTGCTATCAAGTTCAAACCAAAGACAATCATCTCAGAAACCCACGATCAACCTTATTGTAATCCTTCAATTGGTGTTGACTAGCGGTTAGCTCCATTTACTACGTTAACGGTTGCAGATCTATAAAAGAGACTATTCTGTACACAAAAATATATACAAGCAGAGGCAGAGATAGAAGAGACCGGAGAGAGAGATGGAAGAGATACGCGAGGTTGCGTTATCCTATTATCACGCTTGTTCAGCTGAGACCAAGCAGATGATTCTGAATTTCTTCCGAGAGTTGGACTCCGACCAGAATGGGTACATAACCATTAATGAATTCACCGATTACTTGATGAGAAAGGGTTGCAGTTGTCTTAACCCTAACTTCTTCTTGGAGCTGGACAAGGATCGTAACGGCTTGCTGGATTTCGAGGAAGTCATCACTTTCTACTACATCGTTGAATTCATGAGGCTTGTTTTCTGCGATGGATGCGGATGTTTTCTGAAGAGCTCCTACTTCACCTGCGTCGACTGCTATTACAGCAATGAAGATAATAACACCTACGATCTCTGTCCAAGATGTTACCGCACTGGTAACTATGCTAGGGGCCATGAACTCTTCCTGGACAACCATGCGTTGCTCCAGTTAACAGGAAAGTTGATACATGAAACCAACCAGAATCAGCAATCTGCGTCTGTGTATCGGACCCAGAAAATTGAACAAAGGCAGCTAAAGAATCCCAGGATCAAGGTAAACCTTGTCATCTATATTATTACAGTTTGGACCTAGTCCTCACTCATAGCTCCTCACGCGCACCTCACACCATGTTCCAATCACACATTGGGAATTTATCTCCTTTACTTATTTATCAAAAAAAATATTGTATCTCGTTTACTTCTACCTTATTTTTTCATGGGATCGTGTGAGGAGGGCTATTATTAGTATTATTTCGAATTTGGGTCATGTTTATATTTGTTTCTCAAACGAATGCAAAGTCTTTGTTTCCAATTAATTATGTAAAAGAAATAATCCTTTCGTCCCGCTTAGCTTTGGATCCCTTCCTCACGGGGTTGGATGAATTCGGGTTTAGTCCTCACAAGACCCTGTCACAAACTGTTCTAACATCTCTACCCACAGAACATTATGTGTATATTAGACATATCTCTCATGAATGATAAGGGAGATATTTCTAATGTACAGCTCTAATATAGTGTGGGTAGGAATGTGGGAACAACTTGTGTGTAGTTGACGTCATAGATGAGAGTCCTATATTAGGGCTGTTCATAAATAAATTTAAACCGATCAAACCAAACAACCCAGCCTGATCCAACCCGATTTGGCTGATTTTTCTTCACCACTGGTCGGTTTCGGGGTGAAAAGATGGATAGACCGATAATTCAGTTCGGTTTCAATTTTCAAACATGAAAATTGAAACAGAACCAAACCGAGTTATCTATAAATATATTCTTAATGAAATATTACATATAATATGTTTGTTTCAGTTATATATATATATTTATATATCTAGAAAATATATTCTGAAATACTATATATAATATGTATATTTTTGAAATATATATATATATATTTAAAGGTGAAATATATATTTTAGAAATGTATATATTTAAACCAAAACCGACCCAAACCGACTACGTTGGTTTTGCTTAATAGAGAGCTGGTTTCGGTTTAATCTTTAGGTGACCCCACTAGGTCGGGTAGGTTGAAAAAAAAAACTAGTAAACCAACCCGACCCGACCCATGAACAACCCTACCCCTTACCATAATAGCATGGCTATTACTGATGAACGGAGAGAAACAAGGTTCTTAATGGGTTAGGTCAGTCCTGCACCTGGTATTAGGGTCGATCTTTGTGGAAGTTAGGCCAAGGTTTCCATGCTATTAGTCCACACACCTAGGTCTGAAATATAGGACTTAGGGCCCATTTGACATGTCTTTTCGTATGGTCTTTGGGTTGTTTACAAGGCGAAAAGACCAATTTCCGGTCTATTTCCATTTGGTTCGCAGTAAATCTAGCCACCAAAAGCCGAATCGCCAAAAAGATGTGAGAAGCCCATTTTGAGCTGATTTCAAGAAGCTTCAAGGGAAGCTTTTTGTGTCTTTCACGTCTTATTCTCATGCGAAAAGACAAAGAAAGACATACAGAAAGACGTGTATCTGTCAAACTAGCTTTGAGCTGCTCAGATCTTCATGCAAAAGTTTAATGAATCTTTTGACTGTTAGAGCTACTAGAAGATCTTCCCATAAACACTTGCCAAGTGGGCCCTTAGTCCCATATGAGCCCAAAAGGCACCGAGTATAGGCCTAGGATGGTCTGGGCTTGAAAAGAAAATCTAGATATAGGCCCAAATATTTGAGGGCTGGAGGGACCAGGCCTTATGCTTCACTTCTCCTTTAATATTGTACAAGAAGGGTTTGCAGTAAATACACCCGAAGAGGGGGGTTGGGTAGTGAGACCCCATAAATCTTCCAGTCTTGTTTTCTCTGTCTCTTTCAATGCAAGATCTTGGATATTGGTCAAAGAGCTATTGTGCCTGAGGTTCGCTTGGAGGTTTATGATTTGTTGGCTTCTCTATACAAGTGGTTGAACATGAACCATGCAATCCACAGAGGCTGGCACTTGTTGTTGATGTTGTTAATAGTTAAGGTTTGAATGGAGTCCATATCTAGTAGGCACAATATTGTATTCTTCCTTATGAATAACTTCTTCACTAATACAAGGGAAAGGAATGTTCTCCTCCACAGTGTTTCCATTCTCCCCCTGAGGAGAGTGATGGTGGAGAAGAGCCTTTCCCTCAGGAGACAAGTAAGGTACATCCTCAAAAAATGTGACATCCATAGAAACATATCTGTTGTTGTTCAAAGGGTTATAACACAACTATCCCTTCTGAGAACTGGAATAACCGACAAAGATRCATTTGACAAACCTATGACTCAATTTATCTAAATTAGGAAAAAGAACACAAACAAAACAAACACATCCAAAGACACATAAAGGAATGTAATAAACAAATTCATATTCAGGGAGAAGAGTTTGGAAAGGAGAATTATTGCCTAGAACTCAAGAGGGCATACGATTTATTAAATAGCAAGCAGTGTTGATAGATCCAGACCACAAAGACTTGGGCACTTTCATTTGAAACAACAGAACACAAGTTATCTCAAGAAAAATGAGTAACTACTGATTTGAACTAAGCTGAATCACCTTTGGTGATGATGTTTTCAAAACAGAACTCCAATGCACCTTAGCTTCCTTCATTGTTCATGCCTCTGCTCGTGAAATTGTTTTGCTATCCATGACTACGCCGCAGTGTACTGCCGGTTGGGCCAGAAACTATTATGGACACACCAACCGGCAGTACACTGCGGCGTAGTCATAGGCAGCAGCAC